TTTTAGGAGGTGGTAAAACACCCTATATTTTGTTGAACCTTATTGATAGTAATTATATGATAGAAACAAATATCTAATTTCTTGACTCAGGTTATATTTATATTTGATTCTAAATATTTGATTCTAAAATTTCATATGGGAGTTTGGAGAGGCAGACTGATACCTGCTGGTGTGTGGGGCTATTTCTGGATCCTTGCTGGGGTTAGGTAGGGGCTTAGCTCCCAGTGATCCTTAGGATGCACTGTTGCCAGGGATTGAACCCAGGGCCTCCACATACAAAACAAGGTGATGGTATTTTAATTTTATTGCCAACTTGATTAGCATTGAAGACTGTGGTGGATTTTTGCAAGTAGTCTTCAGGTCTGAAGTTAGTGTTTCTGTGCTGGATGATTAGATTTGAGCCAGGTATTTCTTTTAATGTTGAACTTTTTGACTCTTGTACTCATAGAATGAAGCATGGTATTAGGAACCAGAAGTGCAAATGCAGTTTATAGTCTTTTACTAGTTAGTGGGAAAGAACCATTCTAGATCTCCAAATACTTGCTATATCAAAATTACCCGATGTTTGTCTAAAATAAAGCGAGAGAATTAGATAATGGAATCAGGATAATTAAGGGAAATAATTGTTCTGCAGTCTCCCTCTCCCTCTTTCTCCTCTCCCCCCATTTTCTCTTTTTAAAGGTCACACCCGCTGGTGTTTGGGGGTTATTTCTGGCTTTGCACTCAGGGATTACTCCTTGTGGGCTCAAGGGACCGTAGGGGATGCCCGGGATTAAAAACCTGTGCCGGCTGCATGCGAGGCAAGCGTCCTCCTTTCTGTACTATCTCTGGTCCTTTCCTTTGGTTTTTAAGGAATATCTCGTGATGCTCAGAGCTTACTCTTGGCTCTGTTTGGGGATCATTTCTGATATGGTTCAGGGAACCATATGCAGTGCTGGGAATCAAACTGGGTTGGCTGCTTGAAGGCAAGTGCCTTACCTACTGTCCTTTCTTTCCCTGCAGTAATTTTCAGTGAATGGGTGAAAATGTATGTCCAAGACATACATTTTACATTTTGTTTGTTTTTGGGTTTTTTTTTCTTTTGGGGTCACACCTGGCAATGGTCAGGGGTTGCTCCTGGCTCTGCACTCAGGAATTACTCCTGGCAGTGCCTGGGGGACCATATGGGATGCTGGGAATTGAACCCGGGTCGGCGGTGTGCAAGGCAAATGCCCTACCCACTGTGCTATTGTTCCAGCCCCCTGGACATACATTTTGAAGAATATATTTCCCCAATGGATTACTTGAAATGTACAGAAAATTATATACTAATTAAGTTCTTGGGATCCCTGTGTCCATGAACATTTGTTTTAGTAATATGGTTCGTTGATTACCTTCTAGATGACCTAGGTAAATGAATGTCCATTTACATTTTTACTTTAGGGGAAAATTTGGGGTAATCCATATACTCATCAAATGAATACAGTAGGATTAAATACTTAATACTCTGCTGCTTGATTAAAGCGATTATTACATGTGGGTAGTAAATCTTAGCTCCAAGGATACCCAAAGTAAGTAGTCATACACTCTGAGTAACTCTACTGGTAGCAAAAGTGATTTAAAACAGTTTTAGGAAACGTTCAGAATAAGAGAAGGAACACATGGAGGGTGCGGGATCCCGGAGGAAAAGAAAAAAGAAAAAACAGGTTCCAAAAAGAGCCGAGAGCACCGGCAAGTTCCAGATGGAGTAGGCGCCGCATCCCGCCTCCCCCAGATGGAACCCTGGTGACCAGAAGCCTCTACAAACACAGCTCGAGTATGCGGGAACGAGGACTTTTTCTCAAAACCGCGCGGCCGCGCGACATCTCTCTATATACAAAGTGATCAATGAGAAGTAAACCACCCAATCTTTCTCCCTGAAAATCAGAGTTAAGTTTGGAGCATGGCCACAGCCCCAGAAACACAAGGACTTAATGCAGAAACCAGCAGCTTAGAGCAGAAAAGTGAACGGACGATGAGTTAACCCAGGCCATCATTTCTGCCCAGAGGGGAAAAGGGTGTTGCCCCATTCGCCCTCTCTTCTCTGGAAAGAAGGATGGCGGCCGCATGGGAGCCTTGTGGACAGCAGGTATGAGCCGGGGGTGTGGGGGCGACTAAAACCTCATGGGAAGGGGGGGCGTTCTGGTCCGTCCTTCACGCCCTACCGAGGTCACCAGTTGCCCCCCACGAGCGGCTCTCCAGCACGGCCACGGCCCCAGAAGCACAAGGACTTAATGCAGAACCCAGCAGCTTGGAGCAGAAAAGTGAACGGACTCTGCATTGATCCAGGCCATCAAGTCTGCCGGAGGGGAAAGGGTGTTGCCCCATTCGCCCTCTCCTCTCTGGAAAGAAAGATGGCGGCCACATGGGAGCCTTGTGGACAGCAGGTATGAGCCGGGAGTGTGGGGGCGACTAAAACCTCATGGGAAGGGGGGCGTTCCGGTCCGCCCTTCACGCCCTACCGAGGCCACCGGTTGCCCCCCGCGAGCGGCTCTCCAGCACGGCCAGGACTCCAGAACACAGAAACCAATTTCTTAACTATCTGACTTTCAGTAGAAATACTTCCAGGGTCAATAGGTAAAAGAGCAGAAATCCAAAACCAACATTTAATTCTTGAACCCAGCCGTAGAAAGCAAATCACTTCACAATGCTTTTTCAGCATGTCTGATTTGGGGGGGGGGGTAAACTCTAAATAATAGTGGTGAATCTTTTATTGAAACAATGAATCTAATCAAAGCAGATAGAGTGTTAACTAGAATTCATCTGCTTCACAGGGACGGGGAGGGGTGGGGGGTGGGGTTTTATTGGGGTTCTTCATGGTAAAAAATAAGTATTGGTAAAGGGAAATGTGTTTGATATTTGCATGACTGAGACATAAACCTGAAAGCTTTGTAACCTTTCCCACAGTGATTCAATAAATAAATTAAAAAAAAAAAAAACAAAAACAGTTTTAAAGTCTTTGATTAGAAGGGTTTTTTTTTTTTTTGGTGGGGGTGGGGCATGCCCAGAGGACTTACTTCTGGCTCCACCCTTAGGGATCACTCCTTGTGGGTTCAGGAGAGCATCTGGTGTGCCAGGGATTGAATCTCTGGCCTTGCATGGCTGTGTGCAAGGCAGGTGCTGTTCCCAGTCTGCTGTTGCTCTGGTCCCATTAGAAATCTTTTTCATAGGGTGTTTCTTATTTGTTTTTTTTGGCTACATTTGGTGGTATTGGACCTGCTGTGTATTCAGGCAGAAAGGGATACCTGCCGAGCTATTCTGAGAAGGCCCCAGAGTTTTCAGTCCAGCTTCATCTACCTGGGGAGATCCAACAGCATCATGTTCTTTTAGAAATTAGTTGTAGAGGGAAGATGCCGAGTGTGGTCAGGGGCTACTGGGCTGTCCTTTAGGGATGGGGGTGGGAGGGGAAATAGGGAGTTCAGGGAATCTACCCCTACTCAGAGAAGGCCCCAGCGTTTTCAGTTTGGACTAGTCCACCTCCCAAGTTTTCTTCCTTTCATGAGCAGCACTCCCCTTTCTTACCTTGTTTTTGGTATATTGTCCTGGTTGTTGTTTATGAAAACAGTGTAAAGATGCTGCTTCCTTCCTCTTACATTTTATAATTACAAACATTTTATAATTTTATGATTGCACCATGCACACGATACAATACAATATGTTGCTCTGTCTGGGGTGACATGGTTGCATTGGGGTCACATATTTGGGGAGCTTTCTCACTTGGTTGTGCTCATGAGGTCACACAGTTGGTTGCACAAATGGGAAAATAACTTTTTTTTGGCGGTCACATCTGGCGATGCTCAGGGGTTACTCTTGGATCTGAACTCAGGGATGTCCTAATGGTTCTCAGAATCCATATGAGCTGCCGGGGATAAATCTGGGTCAGTCAGGTAAAATGCCCTACCCACTGTCCTATGTCTCTGTCCTCATAAATGGGGGCATATATGTTTTTTTGGGGGGGGTCACACCAGGCGATGCACAGGGGTTACTCCTGGCTCTTCACTTAGGAATTACTCCTGGTGGTGCTTGGGGGACCATATGGGATGTCGGTGATCAAACCCAGGCTGGCCGCTTGCAAGGCAAATGCCCTACCCACTGTACTCTAGCCCCAAATGGGAAATTTTTTAATGTCTTCTGTAGACTCCTTTGGCACTCTGAAACTCATGGCCCTCTTGTTTATAAATACATTAAAATGTTTATAATGTTTATAAATACATTAAAAAAAGAAAGCCAATTTGATATAAATTTAGCAAATTGTTAACACTCATAATAGAGTAATGTGCTTCTTAACAGATTCTAGTAACACTTATGTTCATAATAGTGAATGTAGGTGACCCTTAAAGATCAGCAACAACGTAATATGTTACGACAGTGCCTGGTTTATACTGATACCAAATCATAGCCAGTGCAATTCTGCCATGGTTTAGTGCCAACATTCATACTTGAAGATGCTAAATTTCATTCAGGAGATCGTGAAAATGCTGTATGTAGTTTTGCTTCTGGACCCCATTCCCTGAGTTCAGTACAGGAATCTCTTGGCTGTGACCTCGGGAACAAGGCTTAGTGTTTGGGCTTGGTTAATTGGAGGCTACAGGGTTTTAAACTTTTAAAAACTTAGACTTTAGAGTTTAATTATCAGTCAAATGTTTTTAATATTTGTCAACTCTAGTGGCTTTTGGAAATAAGCCATAAAGATCCAAAGCAGAGAGGTTGCCTGACAGACTGAGTGCGTGCTTTGCATGCAGGAGCTGGGTGTGCCCAGGAAAGAGAAAAGTGGAATTCTGCGGAATCTTAAGGTGATCTTAGTATTTTACCCATGATGGTTAAATTTTATTTTCCCCTTATTGGGAAATACTTTCTATTATATATTGGCTTATTGTTAATGTAGAACTAATATTTAAGCTGTCTTTAAACTTTCAGGGTTGACTATTAATTTCAATGTTGCTTTTATTATGTTCTTTAAAAACTTTTTAATTCTTCTGCAGGATTCGGAAACTTCAGATACGAAATATCCCGCCTCACTTACAGTGGGAGGTAAGATCTTCTGTGTTTCAAACTAAGATTTCAGTAGTTTAGCTTATAGTTAAGTTTTCCCAAAGGTTTTTATCCTTCCCCTAACTCTCTGTCACTTCATAGGTAGGTCTTTGAATCTGGTCTCTGAGATTCTTTTAAATTTGAAGTGGGTTCTTTTGGTGAAAGAGTTATCTTCTTCATCCATTTTTGGAAGATGTTTCTGATGACTTTGTTGTTTTTAAAATACAAAATTCCTTTCTTGGCAAAAAAAATGTTTTTGGGGTGTAGTTTGGGGCCACCCCTGTGGATGCTCAGAGGGTGTTCCTGACTCAGTGTGTAGGGGTCCTTCCCTGCAATGTTCAGGGGACCAGTGCTGGAGATCTAACCTGGCTTCCTGCATGTCCAGCTTGGACTCAGCCCTTTAAGCGATCTCTCTGATCAATTACCAGTTATTTTTGTGACAAACACTATTTTAAGTGTTGTGCTATCTTTTGCCAGTTGCAAGTATAGTGATTATGCATAGGCTCAGCATTTAACACAATTAAATAGTCTTACCAGAAATTTCCAGGGAGTCATAATAATGTTACAGTGAGAATTTGAGATCCAGTTCAAGAGACCCCAAATATGGAAATTGGAAGTTCTTAAAACCTGCCTACCTTGGAAGAGGTCATACAGGTAAACTATATTGCATCTTAATAAATTCAAGATGTAAAGAATGGTTAGAAAATTTCTTCGGTGCTGAGATGAGGGAAGTTGATCTGAAATCTGATTCTCCAGAGACCCTTTTGGTAACAAATAGTTTATATTCAGAATATTTTAATCTTCAAAAAAATTTTACTAAGTTTGGTTCGGCAAGAAGAGGTTTTTTTTTTTTTATTTTGCGGGTGATGCAGGGTTGGAGGCGTATACTCTAATATTTTCCAAGTTAAGAACATCTAAGAGTGTAGTGTTGTATATACATTAGAGACAGATGGCTTGTTTATTTTTCATACCTGAGATCAAACTTGGGGACTTACCTATGCAACAGGTGCTTTACCACTGAGCCATATTCTCTAGCCTCTGGATACAGCAATTTCCAAGAATAAATGAACCATATTTTTCTGTTCTGGATGAACATTTTTTTTCATTTTTTTTTCTTTTTGGGTCACACTTGGCGATGTACAGGGGTTACTCCTGGCTCGTGCACTCAGGAATTACTCGTGGCAGTGCTCAGGGGATGATGTGGGATGCTGGGAATCAAACCCGGGTTGGCCACATGAAAGGCAAACGGCCTACCCGCTGGGCTATCACTCCAGCCCCTAGGTGAACATCTTTTAAAGAACTTCAGTGGTTTTGGGACTGGAACTTTAAAACAATTCTTGCATTATCAGAATTACTGACTTAATTCTTTGTTATTTATTTTTATTCTTTGATCACCAGCCAGCTATGCTTGGGGTCACTCCTGGTGGTTCTCAGGGTTGTTCAGTGTTGGGGATCGAACCCAGAGTTCTCATGTACAGAACATGTGATTCTGCCCCTTGACCTTATTTCCCTAGCCTTGAAACTTTTTGTGGGGGTGGGGTGGTGGGCCACACCTGGCAGTGCTCAGGGGTTATTCCTGACTCTGCATTCAAGAATTACTTCTGTTGATACATTGAGACTGACCAGGGGTGGAACCCAGGTCGATTTGAGTGCGGAGCAAGCTCTCTGCCAACTATACTGTTTCTCTGGCTCTGCCTTTAGTTGTTTTTTTTGGTTTTTTTTTTTTTTTTTAAATTTTTGACCCACCTGATGTGCTCAGGGGACCAGATAAATGAAGTGCTGGGAATCAAGCTCAGGCATCTTGCATTCAGAGTATGCATTTAGCCTGCTGAGCTATCTTTCCAGCTGAAAGCATTTAGTTTATTATATTTTTGATGACTTTCAAAAAGTTTAGTCACGTTAACTGTTTTGTATTTCTCCTGTTGGATTGGGTGGGGAGGTGGACAGTGGTGCTTGTGCGGTGACAGGGATGCAACCCAGGGCTCCGGCATGGACTCCCCCCCTTTGAATTCCCTGGCCAAACTTTTGTATTTCATTTTACCATCTCCATAGTTCTTAGTAGCAAGGTTACATATCTTCATTTTCATCATTTAAATGTAGGAAAACAGGATTTAAAGAATTAAGCAAGTTGCTGAGTTATGTCAGTTTGAAAATAAATGTTGATACTGTTATCCATTCGCCTCTTCACTTTTTGGTGGGGGTGGGGGTTGGGCTATACCTGGCTGTGTGAGTGAGACCTGGCAGTGCAGGGGATTTGAACCAGGGTTGGCTGCATGCAAGGCAAGAACTACAATCTCTCCTGCCCGACTCCTTTAAATTTTTAATGACTTTTTTTTCCTTTCATATTTCAAATTTATTGAGTTCTTGTCAGGGGTCATTGAGGAGTGGGTTGAGTAATTCATTGTTCTTCTAAAGTAGGAAAATCTTTCCTCGATAACTTGAATGATAATGATTTTTTTTTGAAACGGTTGTTTACATTAAAAGTATAATGGTTTATATAAGTGATTAGGGAGATAACTACTAGGGCTAGGTTTGCATGCTTTTTAAGGGCCTGGTTCTATCCCTTGTACTGTATTGTCTTTTAAAGTACTGCTGGGAGTGGCCCCACTCCCTCCACCCATTCCTGGACCCTAGTCATCACTAAGCATCACTGGGTTTGGCCCAAGTTTTTTTTTTTTTTTTGGCTTTTTGGGTCACACCTAGCGATAATCAGGGGTTACTCTTGGCTTTGCACTCAGGAATCACTCCTGGCAGTGCTCGGGGGACCATATGGGATGCTGGGAATCGAACCCGGGTTGACCGCGTGCAAGGCAAACGCCCTACCCGCTATGCTATTGCTCCGGCCTCTGGCCCAAGTTTTTGTTTTACTTATTTATGTATGTAGCTGTCTTTCCCAAAGCCTGATCTTTAACAGTGATAATGCTGCATCTATTCACTCCCTGGTAGTGGAGATAGACCTCGACTAGATAGATTAAATACTTTGGAATCAATTAAAAGTAGACTATCGGAAGAGCAGAGGCAACTATAATAAATGTAAACCTTAAGAAGTGCATTGTACAGATGTCATGGACCTGCTGACTTAATTCATTGGGAATACACAGCAACACAAATAAACTTTTTTTGGGGGACAGGGGTTTGGGTCACACCCAGTGATGCTTAGGAGTTACTCCTGGCTCTGCACTCAAGAATTACTACTGGTGGTGCTTGGGGCACCATCTGGGGTGCTGAGGATTAACCCCATGTTGGCTGCATGCAAGGCAAACACCCTACCAGCTATATACTATTGCTCTGGCCCCACAAATAAATTATTTTTGTCTAAAAAATACAAGTTGACTGAATTAAATTTACTTATTTTTTTTGTGTCACACCCAGTGATGCTCAGGGTTACTATTGGCTCTGAACTCAGGAATTACTTCTGGTGGTGCTTGGGAGACCATGTGGAATGCCAGGGATTGAACCCAGGTTGATGTGTAAGGCAAGTGCCCTCACCACTATACTATCTCTTCAGCCCCCGAATTAAATTTTAATTTAATGTTGAATTAAAAAAAAATTCAGTCAGTAGAATCACACTAAATAATAACCATGAGAAAACAACTAGTTAAATTCAGACTTTATTTTGGGGGCCATGTCCTGCAGTATTCAGGACTTTCCTGGATCTTTATTCCAGCATCATTCCTGGCAGGGCTCAGGGGACCAGATCATATTTGGTGCTAAGTGTCAAACTGGCTGCTTGCAAGGCAAGTGCCCTGCCTGTTGTTCTATCTCTTCAGCCCCTAAGTCTAGGCTACAGAATCCAGGGCACTTCTCAGCACAGATGATGCTGTTTTGCTAAGCAAGCAATGACATTTTAAAGAGGAATGGGACTGTTAAAAAATTAAGAGATAACGAAAAGCAGAATGCAAGGTTGTGCCTACAGGAAGTTGGTTGCGATTTGTGCTTGCAAACAGTGAGATGGATCTAGAAAAGACTTAGGTTTTCTTCAGGCACCCTCGGGGTCAGGCTTAGATTTATATCCCCGCTCCATTGTTGAATTATCTCATACATCGTGATTCTCAACAGGTTTTAAAATTTTGGAGCCTCATTTCTAAATTGGGGGTGATAGTGACCACTTCCTTGGGGGAGCTGTGAATGTTAAAAAAGGTTTCCCTCACTAAAAGTGAGTGTTATTTGCTGTTATCTGGTAGATCTTTCTGAGCATTCTCAAATCCAGATAACTTAAATCATAAGGTAAAGGTAAAGGCCCTCCCGTTGTTCGTCAATTTGCTCGAGCGGGCCCAGTAACGTCTCCATTGGAGACTTTGTTGTTACTGTGTTTGGCATATCGAACACATCACGGGGAGTTTGCCAGGCTCTGTCGTGCGGTCGAGATACTCTCGGTAGTTTGCCGGGCTTTCCAAGAGGGGCGGAGGAATCGAACTCGGGTCGGCCATGTTGGCTGCGTGCAAGGCAAACGCCCTACCGCTGTGCTACTTAAATCATAACAAATTCTAATCTTTTTATTTTTGCCCCCAGCAATGCACAGGGATTACGTCTGGCTTTGCACTCAAATCACTACTGGTGGGGCTCAGAAGACCATATGGGTTGCTGGGGATTGAATCCGGGTTGGCTGTGTGAAGTGCTTTACCTGCTGTACTATTGCTCTGACCCACAGATACAAATCTTTCATGTTGTGGGGAAATCTGTAAGATAGTACATGCTCTAGCTGTCAAGACAGTGCTTGGTCCATGCATACCACATGTTGATATGAACAATGAGAAATTTACTTTAGCTTCTTCATCAGTTCCTGTTATATTTGTTGATCTGGCCTGGATCACAGAAACAGTAGGTATTTCACCAGGGCAAAAGGTTAGATGGAGGATCGTACTGGTGCCGGAGGGCTTGAAGATAGGAGGGGAATGCAAAGAAAGTTAGTCTGCCCTCAACACCGAGGGGCAGAAGAAAACTAGCAAAGGAAAGAAGAGATTGAGACTACCAGCCCAGAAGCCTGGCGGAGGAATTTG